ACCCCCGTCATCATCAAGGTAAGAGAAAGCGTTCGAAATGAAATCCTCCCTCATGCAACAACACCAACCCCACCATCACCACCACCACCACCCGCTGCATTTGAGACAATCTCTGAAGAAAATGTCGAGACCATTCAGTATGTAACAACAGCAGCTCCTCCCACCACCACCCACTGCGTCAATTACTGAAGACAATATCCAGACCGTTCAATATGTGACGTACGAAACTGTTCAAACACCGGATGCGTTGCCGGAACCAGATAAACCGACGCAGAAATGTTTGAGTGAAATTGTTGAACTATTACATTAAATAAACAAACGGCTGGATCGGTTGGAGAAGCGGACAGCGGATATCACCACTCAACATGAATTTATCTTGGACGCCATGCGAAAATTCAGTACCCGCGTGACGAACATCGAGGACCCACCGTTATTTTATTTTGATCCTATTGAACAAGAACAAGAGCTAGCTGATCTGGAAGTCAAGCTGGCGGACAACGATTTCAAATCGAAAATGGTAAACATAATTTACTTCAACCAATTATTCATTATATTCGATTTTTATCATTTTAGGTCAAATGGTTGCGATTCAACGTTAGCGGTGATTGTGCTGATAATCGCATGTTAGGTGTTCTCGATATGCTGTTCAGCAAACAGTTTCAAACTAAATGCACCTGGACTGGAGCAAGTCGGAAGGGACCAAAAATAGCTATAATGCCGAACCGCAATATTCTGCAACTATTTCAACAGATTGGAACCGATGAAGCAGAAGAAGTCACCCATCAGAAGCTGGCAAGTTTTTTCATGAGAAAACTCAAAAACTCTCTTAAACGCTTGATCGCTACTGGCATGCGTCGAGGAACCAGACATGTAAGAAGATGAAAACAACAACGAGAGACTGATGAACAAGAAGTTGAATTTGAAAGTGATGCTGGGTCGATCTTTATTCCATCAATTGAACGGGCAGGATGATGAACGTAGTCATTCGCATATTCGCAACACTAGCAATTCGCACATTCGCAGATTTTCGCACATTTAAGATAGAGCCTATATGTTTCCTTGCAATATGCATCAAATTTTTCCGGGTTTATTGGCTCTTGGCAGTTAATAGCAATTAATATATTCCGGAATCTGAAAATTAAACTCTTCATCAATGTTCAGCACGGAGCTTAAAAGCTTGGGATTTCCAAATGCTCTTCGACAAACGTTTCCTGTAGTACTGGTACCTGCTCCACCCGATCGTGGTTGATCTACTCTTACTTCAAATTTTTCGTAAAGCTGTGTCGTCACATGTTTTTTTCTTTGTTCATATAGTTCTTTGAACGGTTTCGTTACCTTCCATTTTTTGATATCCATTCTGTATGCAATATGCAAAAGGCATTCGAAAAATCTTATCCAAGCATGAAGTGAAGATATGCCGTAATGCAAGGCTTCTTCGTTTGATATAAATCCTTCCTCGAATTTCTCTGCATCATTCATTACATTTGGTGTTGCCCCACATATTGGACAATTCTGCATCGCCGAATTTCCAGTGATATAAGTTAAGACTTTTCCGTCTATCATACTGAGAACAAAATCAAAATCAACAAGTATAAAGTTGTCGTTTGAGAGTTCAATTTTCACTGGCGTTAGTTCACTCATTTCTTTTTCTGCATCCTGTTTTGTAGCCAGAATAACTTCTTTACTCTCTATAATGAATTCAAGGATGAATGGCCTACAAAATCGAATACTTTGAGGCATGGGATTAAACCACATAATTTCCTTTCGATCATTGTACATGAACAACTGAATTGGTGTTAAAGTGGACGAAAATACATCTGAATCGTCCTGACATCCTTCTGGTAGCACTTGATGATATTGCGAATATCCAGTTGATCCGTCCATACCCCAGCTACATAGAAGAACCAGTTCCGTAGAAACTAGATCGTTGCTATCCATATACTCGTTGAGCTCTGCATCAATTATTTGGACGATTCGTTTCACTGTATTTTCCATCAGCGCCTGGAGTTTCACTCTTATTTTCAATGCACTTTCTTCGATGAATTCACTAGGAGGGGCGCATATTTTTTTCACTGCTCCGATCACATAGTAAGGTGGAAATCTTTAAGGTGATTCACTATGTATTATGGTAGTTATATGATAAATAGTGGATGAATTTTATTTGAGTGGTAGTGTATTTTTGCGGCAAAATTTGTACTTTTCTTACTCTTTTTTGATTTCGACATCCGATATCTCAGAAACTAAACTGCTAGAAGCTTGAAACTTTCAGATTCTCTTAGTTGAAATGTTTATTATCGACCAAAAATTACGAAATAAGGATTAGTGAAAGTCGATTTTTTTTATTTTTGACCGCCTGATATCTGATAGTGCAGTGGACAACGGACAACACACAATACCCAGTAGATCTGTAAGGAAATTTATTTTAGGTCGAGGATTACGAAAATAAAAATAAGTCTGTGATCTAAAAAGAAGCCTAGTCCAAAATCAGGAGAAAAAAATACAAGCATCAGAATCTTGAACATTTTTCTAAATCCGAAATCTTCGCCATAGTGATTGAAGTTCCCCGCTGGCCGGAACACGTCGATGATGGTAGGGTCGGTGGTTGATTCTGAATGAAAATATAGAGGAACAATTATAGTAATAATAAAATTATCTATTAAATACTCACCGAAGCGCCGCCGTTGGTGTAGTGTTAAGCGTGATTACCTCTCACCCCAGCAGGCCTGGGTTTAATACCAGTCGGCGCCACCGGGATGTTCTGAGGCATAACATATCTGATCACGACTTCCTTCGGAAGGGAAGTAAAGCCCTTAGTCCCCGGTTTATGAGTTGATGGATCGATAGGTAGGTCGCTATTGAAAATCTCGTCAATAGCTGAATTTATGTATGGGCCCAAATTAGGGGCATTTAGGCCGACATAACATCCATTTCCCCTACCTGAATTAATACTTGCACGACATCTGAAGGAACGCAGAAAACACGCGCGCAGCAAAACGAACCGACGGAGAGTGCTGTGATCAATGTGACTGGTGAGGCAGAAGGAAACAAGTCAGCTCTTTCATTATCACGACGTTCTTATGCATAATATAGTGTGACGTAACGTTAGATCATGCGTAAGAAAACCGTGAGAACGAAAGAGTCGACTATATTCCTTCGACCGCACCTTTAGTAACGGTCACGGTTCCCGCGCTGACTGTTCCTTACTTTCTCACTCTAATCAAACTTTCTTCGATAAGTGAGAAAACAGCATACCGTCAATGCGAGTGAGAACGCAAGTTGCCAGAACATTGCACACAAAATCATCTTTGTTCAAATCAATACAAAAATACTAGCCCATCTGGTGGCTGATAGCACAAGCTTCTAAGAAAATTCTATTACAGCGAACCACATTATTTTAATTGATTTCTTCGCCAGTTAGTCGTCTGTCACTTCGTTTGTGGTGCAAAGAGTGTATCATTTTGTCATTTTTTATGCATTTCAGTTTTGAGTAGAGTGAAAGAGATAAAACCAAAACATTCTAGTACATTTAGTGTTGCCATGTGGTACAATCAACCGGTGAAAACAAACGATTTTAAATTGGCTCACTATTTGATTAGCCTATTGATCCCAAGCAAATCGATTAACGTACCCCCCGAAATTCTAGTACTACACAATGTTTGTTTTGATTCGCTATGAAAGTTTGACAGACAAAATGAGGGGTTCGTGGATTTTCCTATGTTTCGAGAGGCGCATCGATTAGCTTGGGACCGAAGATAGTACCAGAGCTGAGCCAAAAAGTTGAGCACGTTATTTCACGTCAACTGAAAAAACATAAAAAATTACAAAATGATACACTCTTTGCACACTGTCAAAGATCATTGCTCACACAATCATCTCTGTTCAAATCAAAATAAAAATACTAGCCCATCTGGCGGGTTATAGCACAAGCTTTTAAGAAAATTCTATTACAGTAAACCACATTCTTTTAATTGATTTCTTCGCCAGTTAGTCGTTTGTTACAAAAAAGGCATGACAACAAATCAATGTCGAATATGGCTAAATAACTGTTGAATGTTCGTATATTGTAGAGTATAATTAAACCCTGGAAAAAATAGAGGATGTAGGAATACTAGCAACAATCAATAGGAAACTAACGATTTAAAATTGGCTCACTACTTGACTAGCCTATTGGTTCCAAGCAAATCGATTAACGTACCCCATTCTAGTATAAATTCTAGTACTACACTATGTTTGTTTTGATTCGCTATGAAAAATTGACAGATAAAATGAGGGGTTCTTGAATTTTCATATGTTTCGAGGGGTGCATCGATTAGCTTGGGACTGAAGATAGTACCAGAGCTGAACCAAAAGTTAAGCTCGTTTCTTCGGAACCTTCTGGTCTTAGAGTTACCTCTATGATACTAGTCTACGCCACGATCTACACTGATTGACGAAATAAATAAATAAACAAATAGATTGTACATATAAACTACCTGTTCACATGAAAAAACAAACGAGAGCATACAATAGAAGTGATTGGTATCAATAAAATTTATTATCAATCGTTGTAAGTTAAAACTCAATATTAGCAACCGGTGGAAACTAACGATTTTAAATTGGCTCTGTACTTGACTAGCCTATTGGTCCCAAGCAAATCGATTAACGTACCCCACTCTAGTATAAGTTCCAGTACCACACTATGTTTGTTATGATTCGCTATGAAAGTTTGACAGATAAAATGAGGGGCTAGTGGATTTTCCTATGTTTCGAGGGGTGAATCAATTAGCTTGGGACCGAAGATAGTACCAGAGCTGAGCCAAAAAGTTGAGCTCGTTTCTTAGTTACTTTATGCTAGTAGGTCCTAGGTAGGTTAGTTACCTCTATACTAGTAGGTCCCGAAGAATCGTTCTCAACTTTTTGGATCAGCTCTGGTACTCTCTTCGGTCCCAAGCTAATCGATTCACCCCTCGAAACATAGGAAATTCCACGAACCCCTAATTTTATCTGTCAAACTTTCATAGTGAATCAAAACAAACATAGTGTAAGACTAGAATTTTGACTAGAATGGGGTACGTTAATCAATTTGCTTGGAACCAATAGGCTAGTCAAGTAGTGAGTCAATTTAATATCGTTAGTTTCCACCGGTTGATATTAGTGTTCAGATTTCACTATTTGTTTCATTAATTTACTAACCAGTGAACAGTTCTACTGATAAACCGTTTTCAGCAGGGGGTATTTTCGCTTCTCAGCTGGCTTATAAGCATGTTGGTAGACGCTCACCAAACGCCAGTAATCAGGATATCCTGAACCCTTTTTCCAGAACGCAAAAGGTGGTGCTAGGGTATCTATAATGTAGTTCTTCTTGCTGTATGGATCACGTGGCTTGGGAATGGTCAATTTTTTCGGTTCATTCTTCTGCGAACAATTTGAAATTCCACTATCAAAGCTGGCAACCGTTCCGGACGAGTTACTCTGCGGAATACCGGCTTTAAAAGCACATCTAAACTCATGTTGCACCTTATAGGTTACTTCATCCGATGCAGCATTATGGCACAAACGTGGTATTTTATTATCCTTATGTTTATCAGTAGGAGTTCTTTGCCTGGAGCTTTGTGATCGTATTTCCTGATCTGCCAGATGAGTCATGTTCGGTGAACCCTTAGGCCGTTGCTGAGCCAAATCAGGAAGTTCAGCTGCATCCGTTGGATTGAATTCATCGTTGCCATTTCCATTCTTTGATCGTTCAAGGCGTTCAGATTTTGCTGATTTGTTAGACTTTTTGGAATTAGCACTGCCATTACATTTACACCGGTTGGACAAATTATAATTTTTTGTATACTCATCATGCTGCCGAATGATATCACGGTCGAAAAAATCTTCCTCTCCCAGAGTATTTGAAAATACTCCACCAGAATGTACTACTAAAATAGGTCATGAAATAAATTGATACCTTTAAAACTATCATTACTTGCTGTAAACGCTCTTACCGTTGGGTAGATTCAATTCCTTTGGCGGTTCAACAACCTCGAAGATAGGTGGCGCCACCGATGGTTTCGATCCATCCATGTAGATCGCGCGTCGTGGTTCACGCTTAGTACGATAATCCCACCCAATTGCCAAGTCCATTGCACCAACTTTCTCCCGTTTCTTGAAGTTCGGAGTTCGTTCATTCATGCCAGATGCGCTAAGCGGTTTTGGGATAACTCCACAAGTTTTTGGCCGGTATACTCTGTATTTGGTACATTTGGTTGGCCCTGCCTTGTAATTTTTACAACCGACCCCTTTAGGTAAAAAACTTCATTATAAGATGTAAAGCTAGATTGACTAAAACTACACTACCTGTGGCATACGGGCCGACTTCTAACGCTGCTCCAGGATTAGCTGATCCTGCAACCTGCGCTTTTCTGAATGCAATATCCATGACAGCATCCGGTAAAGGCTGGTGTTCAAGATTTTCTTGTGCCATTTTTCTAGCTGTTTGAAAATTACATATCGCCGGAATGAAAGACGTTTTAGGTCTGCCCTCAACGGGTCTGTGAATATCCAGTATTTGTTCCGGAGTCAACTTTCCATACTCAGGTTCGTTACGAGTTGTTTTTGGACGCAGGTTCATATTATTAAACTTGTTAATTATTTCTGTCGAATATGCGGTATCCATTTTGGTAGTATTGATGTGAATTTCACAGCTTTTGAAAAAATAAATTATTAGTAATATGTTGACCAAAGAATTACTTATGCATATTAATTTTGATGGTCTAAAAAAAAAAACAAAAAAAAAAAAAACAACTCAAACAAAACTTGTTAAACTACAAAGGCAGCTAGCCTACATCCTTAGCAATGCAAATAACGCCCACACAACCCTTAGACGCACTTCTTTATTTAAATCTTACAACCAAGGCTCAGATGATCCAAAAACTCGTCTTAACACTCCGAACACGATGCCTCCAAAAAACGTGTACGGGAATTTTACAATGACAAATCTTACACTAAGAAAATGTCGCCCTGTGCGGTCTGTTGATAGTTATTACCAACAATCAATACGAAACTAACGATTTTAAATTGGCTCACTACTTGACTAGCCTATTGGTCCCAAGCAAACGATTAACCCATTCTAGTAGAATTCTAGTACTACACAATGTTTGTTTTGATTCGTTATGAAAGTTTGACAGATAAAATGAGGGGTTCGAGGATTTTCCTATGTTTCGAGGGGTGAATCGATTAGCTTGGGACCGAAGATAGTACCAGAGCTGAGCCAAAAAGTTGAACACGTTTCTTCGGGACCTTCTAGTCTTAGAGTTATCTCTATGGTATTACCAACAATCAATACGAACCTAACGATTTTAAACTGGCTCACTACTTGACTAGCCTATTGGTCCCAAGCAAATCGATAACCGTTCCCCATTCTTGTATAAATTCCAGTACTACACTATGTTTGTTGTGATTCGCTATGAAAGTTTGACAGATAAAATGAGGGGTTGGTGGATTTTCCTGTGTTTCGAGGGGTGCATCGATTCAAAAAGTTGAGCACGTTTCTTCGAGACCTTCTGGTCTTAGAGTTACCTCTATGGTATTACCGAAGAAACGTACAAAACGAAGAAACGTAGACCAATAGGCTAGTCAAGTAGGGAGCCAATTTAAAATCGTTAGTTTCCACTGGGTGGTATTACCATAGAGGTAACTCTAAGACCACTGGGTCCCGAAGAAAATCATTATTATTTTTGGCTCACTCAGTACCAGAACAACGGTCCCAAGCAGTCCCAAGCTATTTCACTCACCCCTGCATGTTCTGCATGCATCCACACACCCCTGATGTTATCTGTCAAACTTTCATAGCGAATCAAAACAAACATAGTGTAGTAATAGAATTTCAACTAGAATAGGGTACGTTAATCGTTTGCTTGGGACCAATAGGCTACTAAAGTGGTGAGCCAATTTAAAATCGTTAGTTTCGTATTGATTGTTGGTATTACCATAGAGGTAACTCTAAGACAAGAAGGTCCCGAAATAACGTGCTCAACTTTTTGGCTCAGCTCTGGTACTCTCTTCGGTCCCAAGCTAATCGATTCACCCCTCGAAACATAGGAAAATCCACTAACCTCTCATTTTATCTGTCAAACTTTCATAGCGAATCAATAGTGAGCTAATTTAAAATTGTTTAGTTTATTTTATGCGTCAATCATATGCTTCATGACCTCTTCTTGTAACTTTCAAGTACTAATTGGCATTATACTATTTCATGATTTCATAATTCCGAAAAACATCTTTTTATAGCAAGTGAGTGGAAGCAACCCTGCTTCCAATAGTGGACGCGTATCTATTGATTCGAAACCGATTGTTACCGCCGTTGCATATTTCTGCCAGTCGATGTTCCTTGTAAGATCAAATGGAACTCGAGATGGTTCTGCAGAGTGAGGGCCACACATAATTGAAATGATGATTGGCAAATGATCGCTACCATGGGATCATTGATAACCTTCCACAGACAGTCCAATGATAGTGATCTTGAACACAAAGCTAGGTCGAGTCGGCTTTCTCGAGCCGGAGGTTTTGCTATACGTATCGCCGAGCGTGTCGCTTCATCAGTGCTCAAAATAGTCAAGTTGAAATCGTCGCATAAATCGTAAAAAATAGCTGCTCTATTGTCATCATATAGATCGCCCCACCCAGTACCATGGGAGTTCATATCACCCAGAATTAATACTGGGGATGGAAGAATCGAAACTAGATGACTACGATTAATGGAGGTTCTTTGTGGAACGCATACTGAAGCTATGCAAAGATCTTTGGTCTTCACATTTATTTGGCAAGCGACGATTTCGACACCTGATAGAGCAGAAAAAGAAAAAGTGTAGAAAAGGTAGCACTTTTTGATCCCTAAAAGTACTCCTCCATAAGAGTCGTCTCTATCCACACGAATAATGTTAAAATCGTGGAAGTTGAGTTCTTTATCTGAAGAAAGCCATGTTTCATTGATGCAAGGAGGGCCCAAGAAACAGTCAATTGCTTTATACCTTGTTCAGACTGGAGAGTTATAACATGTTATAACGGTTGTCAAATAATTGCAACACAGAAACCGCAATCAAGATAGCGCTATAACATGTTATAACTCTGTAGTCTGAACGTACGTACGTACGTACGTACGTTCAGACTACAGAGTTATAACATGTTATAGCGCTATCTTGATGGTGGTTTCGGTGTTGCAATTGTTTGACTACCGTTATAACATGTTAGACATTCCAAAGTAAAAAAAAAGATTTTTGAAATATGCCGAGTGGACTACCCCCTTAACTACTAGTTGTTAATACCAACAGTTAATACTGTGCTGTGCTACGAGCAACCAAACAAAAAAATAAATAAATAAATAAACTTTAAAAAAATCCGCGCGGGGCTATACGAGTCCATTTATTCTTGTGTATCACAGTTCAAACTGTATGCGACAAAATTACGGAACTCTGCAATCAGTTTCATGGATTAAGCGCTTTTACAGATGTTTCGGATCTTCTGGAGGACCGTTTTCGTGATCATACGGGTCCATGTTCAAGTCACGATCTCAAATTCATTATAATATCCCAGTTTCAAGAATTTTCTAAAACATAAACTGAGCCTAGACAGTTTCATGGATTGGCCACTTTTACAGATGTTCCGGATCTCAAGAGAAATGTTTCTGTAGCCATCCACATCCATGATTATGTCACAAACACAAATTTATTTTTGTATCGCAGTTCAAAGTTTTTTCGACAAAATTGCTGATTTTTTTTTTACTAATTACTTTACTTGTACAGGCACAATCAAATAAACTTTACAGAGCCGAGTTATCATTTTCTTTGTACATTATTACCACAAACGAAGTGACATTGATGTAATATTGTATCTGATTTTTGCTATTACATCATTATTCCATACATCAGCTTGAATTACATTGATCGATATTACATTTTTTTGCTGTGTACGTTTACATCATATATCATGTAAAGTTCTGACACATTTCATGCAATGTAGCAAATATTTTATACAAAAGCTCATCTTTGCAAACAACATTGTTTACAAGTTGCTCGGTTGCGTGAAATGAAATACAAGTCTACGTGAATGAATGTTTACATCACAATTAAAATTCAGAATTTTTATCTGTGTACAGCAATAGTCCTACGGGGTTGACGTCCTGGAGGACGTAAAAGCGGTCAATGAACTGATCGTAGAGCTCCGTGTTTGTTTCGAAAACTTTTGCAACGGTGATACATGAATGCACTTGGAGTCGTGCCATAATCATGGACACGGATGGTCACGCAAACGTTCCTCTGGAAGATCCGGAACATTCGTAAAAGCGGTCAAGCCATGAAGCTGATCCTAGATTTCAGCAATTTTAACCACGAGTACTCGGTCCAGTTCCTTTAACTTTAAATATAAGACAGTAATAATCCGATGTTAGTTACCTCTATGATATTATGGCTCTTAGATATGCTTGCAAGGAAAATGGTTGACCAACAAATTTTTTAAAGAACTTCAGATTATCATAAACCTACATTCTGATTTGTTACTTATTATTTTGAAGATATCTAATTGTTCAATAAATAAAATCTTGTCTCTTAGTAATTCTTACAAGAGAAGATTGAAAAGCAATTTGTTCATGATATTTTGGAGCTTTTTCTATATGATCGATAATTATTCTGACATTATGGCTCTTAGATAAGAACTTTACATATTATAAAACGGTCACCAAAAATAGTCTGTTAATTTTTAATTTTTAATTGCATCCGTATTCTTTTAATCAGTATTTGTATAGATTATGATAAAAACATATATTCATTGCTTTAAGTAATGATATTGATATTCTAAAAAAATGCATTTTCAAAATACAAAAAAAAAATTTACACTTTTTTTTTAAAGTAATTTACAAATATTTCACTTTTTTTGTTTTTTCGTGTAAATGAACAAGGTTATTTTTCATTTTTTTTTTTCAATGAGATCCACTTTATACACTTAAGGTACAAAATAATAACCATTACATTTGTCAGATCATTTAATTAGAACAAAATGTGATAAAAGGTATGTTGACAAAGTTGATAATCAGAACGAAATTTATTGTATGTGTTTCAAATGTTCTGCTTCAAAAATATCGTGTATAATTGTTGCTATGTTGCATATAAGAAGAGTTTAAAACTTGCCGATGAAAGCATTAAACTAAGTAGTCAAATAAAAAAAAAATCGGGGCTGGTAGTGTGTGTTCGTTCTATAACTTGAACAATCCTTAGTCTCGCAAGAAAGTAGGTTGATCCGCAACTATTATTACAATGAACATCAGAAGATCATAAACATGTACTAGGTCTCTGGTTATTTCTGGTTAGTAACTTATGATTATGAAGACCTCTAATTTTTCAATAAATCCAGTCATGTCTCTTGGGAATTCTCGCAAGAGTAGGTTGATCTGCATCTAAAGGAAGGAAATGCATCTAAAGACCTTCAGAAGATCATACAACTGCTCAATATTCCAAGTGTTATTAATTATTCTGAAAACCTCTAATTTCTCAATAAATCACACCAGGACTGTAAGAAAACCCCGTAAGAGAAGGTTGATCAGGGTTTTTTTCCCAAAGACCTTCAGAAATTCATTGGCCTGCACTATGGTCTCAGGATATTTTAAAAATTATTCTGGTTGATTGA